GAACCCGCCACCTTGGGTGTACATGGCTGGCGCCTTTGCTACTTGAGCCACAGGCGCCGAGCCATATGTCACATTTCTTACACAATAGAATTACTTACTGACTTGTCCTTTGTAGAGTAAAATAAATGAGGGAAGTACATCTATTAAATCTCACTGTAAGAATTCATGATTACTGAAATTCATACACTTCTACTTTTTTTAATTGAACCAAAAATCAAGAGTCTTTACATAATAGAGCCAGATCTAATACTCATGTAGACCTATGTATTTTTAAGATGAAGATACTTGGGTGATACAACTACAAAAACAAAAGTAGGTTGGGTGAGGTGGCTCACACCTGTAATCCTAGCATTCTAGGAGGCCAAGGTAGGTGGACTGCCTGAGCTCACAGTTTTAAGACCAGCCTGAGCCAGAGCAAGACCTCGTCTCTAAAAATAGCTGGGCATTGTGGTAGGCACCTATAGTCCCTACTTGGGAGGATAAGACAAGAGAATCATTTGAGCCCAAGAGTTTGAGCCACAGCACCCAGCCCCTTGGCCACCTCTTTGTAAAAATTTTACATAATATTCTCTACTGTTGGCTGCCTCTTTGTAAAACTTTGTACTAAATATTTTGTAAATAAAGGTATGTTTAGCTACAATTTTCCATTTTCCCAAGGTATGGCGACTTTCGGAGTGACTTTTGGTGGAGATGTGAGGATTAAACAATCCTTAAGTAAGGCTTAAATACTTAAAAAGAGCATATTGTAGTGCTTGACTCGTGGTTGGCATTCTTTAAACATTAGGTAGTATTACAAGGAAGATCTGGAAAACCAGCATAAAACATTCAGTCCCTTAATAAATTCTATAAACATATGTTAAAAATATCCTATGGGTATCACATGTAAACCTACCTTTGCTGTAACAGCAATCTGTTTTCTTTTTCTTTCAAAGCTTTCTTTAGTTCTGCTGTTCTCGAAGGCCTATGTAGATATTTTCTTTTTCCTGTGCATTCATAAGTCCAATGTCCAAATTCCAAGCATTTTTGACATCTTACATGTTGCTTATTTGCTTCACTAAAGAGTAAAAAAATAGAATACAAGCCTTAAAATTCTGCTTTATGATATTTTTTATCCTAAAAAACATAAACTATATAAAGTATAAAATAATGTTTATGGTCCAATTCATAAAAATAAACATCATTTTACACTTTACAGTATTTAAGATTTAATAAAATGAAGTATTATAAGTGATTAAAATCATGGATCTTGAGAGTTAAGATAGAATTGCCTTCAAATCTTTGTTCCTGACTCCGCGCCTGTGGCTCAAGTGGCTAAGGCGCTAAGCCACGTACACCTGAGCTGGCTGGTTCGAATCCAGCCTGGGCCCGCCAAACAACAATGACGGCTGCAAACAGAAAATGGCCGGGCGTTGTGGCAGGCGCCTGTAATCCCAGCTACTTGGGAGGTGGAGGCAGGAGACTCATTGAGCCCAGGAATTGGAGGTAGCTGTGAGCTGTGATGCCAT